AACTGCTGAATGTTAACGGATACAAATATTTAATTTTTAAAAATGTTTTGTTTACTTTTGTGATTTGGATGTTGGAATATTGAATTATTATGTTATGACTTCATTTTATCCACAAATTTTCTTTCGCTAATGAACCAATATGTCATCCTTATTCATTACTGAAATCATAGTTACTCATTATTCTTAAATAATTGTTCATCGCAGTACATTAGCTATCTCATTTTTCTATAACTATATCTTAATTATCATATATTCGTCAACAATGAAAAAATATGATAATAAACGATATCGATGTTCATTACTAAAATTATGATCATCACTTAAAAAATTGATATCCATAAAAAAATGATATTCATTACTATATGATTGAACGTTCATTTTATTATGTGGTATTCATAGCAAAAAAATAAATGAACAACAACTAAAAGAAAACTCATGTGTATATATGCATTAATATTCATTGATAACAAAAGCCGTATTCATTACCATGTGATTGAACATTCATTTTATTGAGTGGTATTCATAACATAAAATAAATGAACAACAAAAAAAAGGAAAAAATGAATTCCATAACTGAAAACTCACCATAAGTCGACAGGAATAAATTGATAATTCATTAATGAAAAAACAATATTCATTATAAAAAACAAAAACCCCAACATTGGCCTGCTATTTGTGACAGCCTTGACTATTACTAGGATCAAAAACCACTAAAAACTAACGTGTGGGCATAATGTCCAATCACATCAGGGTTAGCAGAATTCACCATATTGTATACAGTCTTCTTCATCCTCAAAACTGCACCTCTCTTATAGCTTGCCCTAGCTTGTCTTGATCTCTTCTCGATTTCACTTTTCCACCTTATGTTATGCTCTCCCAATGGCCTAACATCTCAGAATCTTTTATATTCACATTTGAACTTGAAGGAGCATGGGAACCATCATTTCCAACGGCATCCTCTTCAATCTTTCCAGTCAAAGATCCAACCTGCTTATGAACACTGTCAGACAATGTTTTCATGGTTTCTGAAATGATGTTTTTCGCATTGTCACATGATTCACTAACTGATAAAAGGCTGATAAACTTTTTAATCATGTCAGTTCTCCATAAGAAAGAACCACTGATATCAAAATTAGATCCATACGCATTGTCCAAAGAATCACCAATGCACCCTTGATTAGCATTCCTTCTGAACCTCGGCAAAATATAACATTTCGGAGCTTGATCGACATTACGAAATATATAAACTCTGAGGCAATGTGCACACAAGAAACCCGATTATGAAAACATTTGCATGTGCATTTTATCTCATGTGATTGAGCATTAAAAACCACTTGATGAACCATCACATCAACAAGCATCTGCCTAACATGATGTAACTCTACACCAGAGCCACCGTTAAAAGAATCAACGACCCAATGATTACAGTGAGCTGCATCATCAAATTCTCGTTCGAAAACAAGATAAGCCCCTATTGTGTATAGTTCTTTTGCATGACGACACATATTAACATTTGGAAAACGCATACTAACCCGATCATTGTTGCACCGTTGGTCCTCGTCATTCTCTTTTTGCCTCCAATCATTGATTACTTTAACGAACCTTCCATAGAAAGTGTATAAACGAGAAGCCTTAGTAAGAGATTGTGAAACGGATTTGTTCATTGATTCAGACCTCTGCGATGACAATACACCACCAGAAAAAAATGACTTGCTATATGCAGGACACCACTTCTCTCTGGAGTCATATTAGTTTTTCAATCATTTATCATTGTGGCACTGGTAAGTATCGCACATCTTGGTTGTTAACAAGAGAATACAAAAGTATATTTATTCATCATAAACATAGTGGTATGCATCAAATAAAATATAATCATTCATTTGTGAAACCACAACATAAAACCTATTGCAAGATATTCTAACATACTGTAATATTCATCGATTAAAAAGGTACTATTCATTAATTTTTCATGTAAATTCATTCAAATAATATTAACTTGCATGATTAAAATCAAGCAAGAAAATTATAAAAATAAAAAAACATGGATAAAGTAAACTTATAAATGCCAATAATGCTCAAACTCAACAACAATATCAGTGTGTCTTAGAACCAATTGGAACAGATCATTGAAACCAGCTTTTCTCCTGAGGTAACCAATGTATTTCTTCACATTCTCCTGAATATGTCATGTGCAAAGTCGGTGACGTGAATTCTTGAACATCGGAGGGATTGCAGCACCCATGGCAGCATATTGATCTGTCATGATTGTTATAGGTTCATTATCACACATAGACTTCAAAAATTCTTCGAAGAGCCATTTAAATAACTGGGTGTCCTCGTGCAACAAAAAACCTACACCAAACATGATGTTTTGATTATGGTGATTCATTCCCGTAAATGATGCGCATACAAGCTTGTATCTGGTTGTCCTATGGGTAGTATCATGAACAAGCAAGTCACCGAAAACATCATAATCCCTTCTCATACGTGAATCCCTCCAAAAAACACAACAAAGTCTACACTCATTATCATGCTTGTAGTTATAATAAAAATCATGCTTTTTCTCTTTCCTTTCTTTCAACGTATCCAATAGCTTGTTTGCATCACCACCTTCCCATCTGGTACGTTCATAAGCTGCAACCTTGTTTTTAGCATCCGTTACGGTGTATCCTAGGTTAGAAACACCTTCATCTTGATCTTTGAAAATTTCAAACCCATCTGTTAGTCTAATACCACTATCCTTCAATTTAGATAAAAGTTGAACATCATTGTTTGGTACTTCCCTTTGTGATCGAATCAAGTGCCTCTGCCTTAAAGGAATAAGATCATGACAATGTTCAGTAACACGCTTGACCACCTTCCATATCCCTTCATCATCAATACTCATTCGACCATTGCTTTACAACCAACTCGTGTATCCGTCTTGGTATAACATATTCCTGTTGATGTTATTTTCCCTTCCTTGCTACATGCGAATTGTTTCATATATACAACACCAGATCTGGGTCTTTTTCTATCTCTAAATTTTTTTTATTGAAAACCCGACTCGATTTGCATAAGAATTGAAAGCATTAAATGCCTCTTTCTCTGAATTAAAACATCTTCCAAATAGGACATCATCTGTTGAATGTAAAATAGTTATTCATCAAAATACTTAGCATATTCATTACATAATGCCTATATATTCATCATTAACTATGGGGTGATAAACAAAATCAAAATATATTTAACAACATATAAAAACTCTAAACTAATATTTCATTAAGTTAAAAAATTCATTAAATGAAATAATAAAAAAAACATCATAAACTAACTAAAAAACCAAAACAAAAAGTTGAAAACATGTTTGATCATTTAACATACATGATATTCATTAATTGTATTATGCATGTTCAACATTAAAAAATGAACATTTAATACTCTACATATTCAATGAATAAACATATTCATACTATCAGAAAACAAAAACATCCATACCGAAGTAATGTTCATCAAATATAAAACAATCATTCATTACTGATTTTTGCAACATAATTCATACGGAAAACTTTGAAATGTATAATAATGTCAAATAATAAAACAACATCCATACAAAAGAAATGTTCATCAAACATGTATTAAATATTCATCTATAACATATGCAACATTTATATATTAAGCTATAACAAATTATAAACCTGACACAATACCTCCTAAAGAATCAGTATTCTGATCATAAAAAACAACCAAAGATCTATCATCACCAAGAACAATCTCTGAAGAAACATGAGTATCATCACCGATTTCTTCCACACCATGTAAATTCACAGAACCTCCATTACCAACATCTTTTATTTCTACAATATCCGCGTCCCTTGTACATCTTCCCAACGATTATCATCTGAATAACTTCCTGATCCGTAACATAAATCTTCATCCTCCATCATGAATAATTTTTACAACACAACAGAATTCCAAATGATATACTGATTTGCTCAGAATTGTATAATTATACAATGAATTAAGGATAATGGGAATAAAATTTAACCGTTTAAATTTTAAATAATTGCATGAATCACGTCAGTTTACTGATCACGTTATTAAATCGCAGATTTGTAGGGATTAATATGCGTGTGGAGTCGAATAACCGGATTAATTGGTCCACTTATTCTCGCCAAAAGTGAGATTCACGCACTGCCTAAGGTATACCTAAGTGCTTGATATAATTTGCCCCTCTTTATTAATTATGCATACTCTAGTGTCCCTAATCTAATCTTTTCCTTATTATTGCTACCTCCGATCTTTATTATAAGTCATTTTAATTTTTCTTAAATTTCATTTATAGTGTTTTTCAGATTATAAATAAAACCCTAAAAAATGGTTTACAAATTGGGAGAATACAAGAAATGCCAAAATGCATTTTCAGGGTTTTATTTTTAATTAGAAAAACGAAGATAACTTACTTAATTTTATGATACATTTTGATTTCTCTTAATTTTTATTTTTCGTATTTTTTAATTAAAAATAAAAATAATTTACGTATAATAATTTTAAAAACACATAATGTTTAGTCATAAAATTTGTTAATTATTTTTTCATGTATCATATTTTACTTTATTCAAAATTTTAATAATTAATATCACAAGATTTATACATATATGATCAATTTTTTTATATTTTATAAAAAAATAATAAAAGTATGGTGAGATATCCGCATATCTTGCGGGTTTAACATTAATTTTCAATTACAAGAATACAATAAATCAAAATGGACAAATTGATAAGGACAAGAGGAAGTATGCTATGAAGCCAAGTTGTGAATATTTTTGGCTGCTTTTAGAACTATCTCTTTCTGCGGAAATTCAAAAATTCAACGCCTTTTCCAAACGTTCTCTCTTCATCTTTTTTTGACTGCCAGACGCCAAAGGAGAAAGGAATTCATCCTTTGACTACTGCAAAGATCAAAGAGGAAAAACAAACAGGGGAGAGAACAGAGACGGAGGAAGAGGAAGGAATATACAATGTGTGGGATTTTCGCCTACCTGAATTACAACGTCAATCGAGAACGCAGTTACATTTTGGAAGTTTTGTTTAATGGCCTCCGGCGTTTGGAGTACAGAGGCTATGATTCCGCCGGTATCTCCATTGATGCTTCCCCTGTTGCCGGGGTCCCATTGACATCAAACCACAATTCGAATTCCGGTTCTGGGCTTCCTCCTCTTGTGTTTCGGCAAGAAGGGAAGATCGAATCCCTTGTCAAATCCGTTTACCAAGGTACCCATTTTTTGTTTTTTAAGTAAAGTCAAGTTTTTAGTTGGTCTTTTTTTTTTGTGGTGATCTGATATGTTGGTTCATTTTTAATCTGGGTTTGGAGTTATTTTGGGTTTTCTTTTTTAGTCTTTCATTTGATTAGAACTAGTATCTGTATGGGAAATATGTAGGTTTGCAGAATTTCAATGGGGAACCTAAGAGAAAGTAGTGATTTAGTGATAGGTTTTTTGCCTTTCTGGGTTTTGGAAACCTGCCTGATTTATTCAATTAAGTGGTTATGATCTGTGATGAGTGAAATCTCGACTTCCAGCTGAGGTTTAAGTTCTTATGTATGAATAGCATTTATACTAAGTGCATTTTAATGGATTCTGAGTATGGCAAGTATTGAATCGTCAATTAAGCTAATAAATTAGAAAAATAGGAAACAGATTTTTGCTTCGGCATAGTTACAGAGCGTGTATAAAATTGTGCTTTTAGTCTTGGATCAGAAGATGGATTTGGATAATTTATGTAATAGCATGTTGTTTTCTGTTTCATATTGCATCTTCATTTGCTTTTCTGTGCATTTCCACCAGTGCAAGGGATTGTTGAATGTAGCATGTACGAGGCTTAGAAAGATTTGACGAGATTAAAGCTGTTCGTTTGTGGTTTCAGAGGTTGCTGAGACAGAATTGAATTTGGAAGAATCATTTTCCATTCATGGTGGAATCGCCCATACACGATGGGCAACTCATGGTGAGCCAGCTCCAAGAAATAGTCACCCACAGAGCTCTGGTGCTGGAAATGATTTTCTGGTGGTCCACAATGGGATTATCACAAATTATGAGGTTTCTTTTGTTTCCTGTATATCTATTTACTCTTTGCCCTTGTAGTTATCATGATTTTCCCTAAATACTGTAGTAGACTTTGACAATAGGTCTTCCTGTTAAGAGTAGTAACTCTGTCAAAAATCATATTAACCTTGCCCGGGGACGGACCTAGGGGGGAGCAAAGGGGGTCCGTCGACCCTGCAATCGGCAAATTTTTTTAAAAAAATACCTTAGAATTTTTACAAATTTTTGGAAAAAAAAAAGTTTCTAGTTATGATCGACCCCGCGAATAATTGGGTCTGGTTCCGTCACTGACCTTGCCTTAACAATCACAAGTGAAATAAAAGATCTTTTATCCAGAGTAGATATTCGGTCCTTTGATATTGCACTCTGTGTAGGTCTTGGAATTGTTAGCTGATTAAATCTGCTAATGAGACATTTTTTAGCTTTTAGATTTGATAGGACGATAAGGATGGTGTTCGGTGGCTGGTGGCTGATCTTTTACGTTAGTTTGTTTATCTTTTTTTTTAATTATTATTTAAAATGTTATTGCTACTATTTCCACATAAGTGCAGATTTGTATTGGTTGACCCTTTTGCTAGAATTTTGTGTCAATTGGTGTCTGCCATAGCAGATGAAGCATTGTATAAGTAACAATGATTGGCTTAATTGGTCTGTGGCTTTTCGTCGCTCCTTTCCAATGCTTTCGGAAGTGTGTCTGCTTGCAATGGCTTTAGCTTATGTCACAGTTTGACTCCGGGCTAGGAAGTTGCTACTCTAATGTAGTTCAAATAACTTGCCATTGAAGTTTTAGCATAATACAACTAGTAGCTGTTACTACCCTTCTGTTTCTTTGCCGCAAAATAGATTTCATTTTTCTTGTGTCACTACTGCGTGAATTGTAGTTGGGTATGCAGTTGATTTTAGAGTGATAATCACTATACCAGCTACATGCTTTTAAACTTATCGGTCAATTTTGTCAAGATGCTCATAGAGTTTGTTGCTAGCGCCTCTCTTATCTGTTCAAGTAACTGCAAGAAAAGGCTTTAACAGAATTTGAATACCACTGTGTTATATTTCATGCATAAGTTCGTCCCCATGTTTTTTAGATAATTTCTTTCTTACTGCGAGTTAAAATTGGATTTGGCAGGTATTGAAAGAGACATTAGTTCGACATGGATTCACTTTTGAATCAGATACAGACACAGAAGTCATTCCAAAGCTTGCTAAATTTGTTTTTGACAATGCAAATGAAGAAGGTAAATGTCTTGCTGAATTCAAGTGATTTTTTCATGTGGTTCATATTGTCAATGTTACTGTTGTTATGCAACGAATCCTTCACGCTATAATTCTTGTGTTCTTTTTACTTCCCTTTCTGTCTAGTTTCCATTAGCTAATTACATGTAGATGCTTCGTGGAATCTTGCTAGTAGTTTGTTTTGCTTCAATGGTTTTGTAATTGACAGAAGAAGTGGTGACACAATAATCTCCATACGAGGATTTAAATTTTTTTTTAATTTTATTTTATATTATCTAGTTTACGGGGAAGTACTTTTGTATCTTCAGCACTTTGGTAGATGGTTGGTGGAACCAAATGAAGAGTTCAAACTGTTTAAGTTTGGAGAAGTCATGTTTTGTTTTCATTCGCCATAGTTGACCCATAATGCCTGGAAGGACTTTAGCTGAACATTATAAGAAATGGTAAATTTATGCTGGGGTCCAAATTTGATGTTTGTTTTAATTTCTAAGGATGAGTACAATAACCAGGAACCTTGTGGCCCTCTAGAATTTGTCTTCATTTGTGAATATAGTGGAATTATGCTGTTTGTCATTTTGAGGAGTATTTAACTTTTATTGCAGGTGATATGAGTGTAACATTCAGTCAAGTTGTACTTGAAGTTATGCGGCATCTGGAAGGAGCTTATGCTCTTATTTTTAAAAGCCGACATTACCCAAATGAATTGATTGCTTGTAAACGTGGCAGTCCGTTACTCCTTGGTGTTAAAGTAAGTATATGTATTCGGGAATAGATTTGTGCATTATATTCTGTGAGCTGACTACTCGAAGATGTGGAAAGCTCTTCCGGGGTAGTCTATTCTACGAAATGCGCCACTGATGATAATCGCACATATTAAATACTTTAATCAATATTCGCCTTTTACCTTATGCAGAATGGTGATTCTTATCTACTATAAGTAGCAGGCATATCTTCGAAAAATGAAATTATTCTGTTAATCTTCAATGAGATGTCTTCTGGACCTTGTATTATTTCAACTTTCTGTTTCTTTGGTTCCTGATTTGAAAGGATTGCTGAATATTATTACTGTTTGACATTTAACATTTGAAATTAATATCAACTTCATTTTGCCGTTATCATATGTGAAACATTGGAAAAATGGAGAGAGTTCCATAATCATGGCTATTTGAGGTCTTCCCTTTTCTAGCTCCTCGCGAGGCTCTCAATAGTTGATCATTTCACCAAACAAGTAGAGTTGGAAAGAACAGGAGATGAGCTCATGTTGTTTTCTGCGGATGAAAACTTTCATAAGTTCCTCGAGTAGGGAGCGTATAATTACATGGAAAGCAAGTTTCTAAATATGCAGTAGCTGGATGCCAATTATGGAAAAAAAAAATGAAAAAAGAAGCAAAGTAGGATATGCTAGTGGGCCTGTCATTCATACATTCATTTATGTTTTAGTGTTGTACCATTGTTTTCTTCAACTGGTTTCTATGAGTGCATTACATTCCTCAGGACCTTGAAGACGAGGGCACTAATGGAGCATCATTTAGTGATGCAAAATTTCTTTCAAGCAACCAGCATCCCAAAGAACTGTTCCTGTCAAGTGATGCTAGTGCAGTTGTTGAACACACAAAAAAGGTTTTGGTAATTGAGGATGGTGAAGTTATTCATTTGAAGGTACAATCGTCTAATTGATTTGAGTTGTTAAAATTATTTACCAATTATTTCGGATAGTTTTCTTCTCCAACTTTTTCATTACACCTTACACCTTTGGGGAAGTAGCTAAAATATAAGAATGTAACATTTGCGTGTATATGTCTTTAGTCATCACTATGATGTTACTTTATGACCATTTTGACGTTTGACTATTTCAGGATGGAGGTGTGTCAATATTCAAGTTTGAACAAACGAAGGGGAAACGTGGTGGTACACTTAGTAGACCTGCTTCTGTTGAACGTGCATTGTCTGTTCTTGAGATGGAGGTTGAGCAAATAAATAAAGGCAAATACAAGCATTATATGCAAAAGGAGATTCATGAGCAACCTGAATCCCTAACAACTACGATGCGAGGAAGGTTAATACGTGGAGGGTCATGCAAAGCCAAAAGTGTCCTTTTAGGTGGACTGAAAGACCATCTAAAGACTATCAGGAGAAGCAGAAGAATTGTCTTTGTAGGTTGTGGCACTAGTTATTTTGCTGCTTTAGCCGCAAGACCTTTTGTGGAAGAACTTTCAGGTAGTGGTTGTTATCTACTGTACACCATGAGTAATGCGATCGGGAATGTTAGTTTTTTTACTGACTTTAAATGGATATGCAGGTATACCTGTAACCATGGAAGTTGCTAGTGATTTAGTTGATAGGCAGGGTCCTATATACAGAGAAGATACAGCTGTATTTGTTAGTCAATCTGGCGAAACTGCGGATACACTGCAAGCTTTAGATTATGCTTTAGAAAATGGAGCATTATGTGTTGGGATCACCAACACTGTTGGAAGTGCTCTTGCTAGGAAAACACACTGTGGGGTCCATATTAATGCTGGTTGTGAGATAGGTGTAGCAAGCACTAAGGTACAAGTTTTAACTGGTTTTGACTTCTCTGGATTTTGTAATTGTGGCCTAATGTATTCGACATTCTTCAACAGGCATACACCAGCCAAATAGTAGTTATGGCTATGCTGGCTCTTGCTGTTGGAGGTGACACGATTTCAAATGGAGATAGAAGAGAAGCAATAGTAGATGGTCTATTTGATTTGCCAAGTAGGTCTTATGCCTTGTCTATTGCAATTTTGGTTTCTCTGTTAGTGCAAATACCCATGATGCATATCTGCATTTCACTTATGACTTATTCTGTTTATTTGCGTGTCAATCTGGTAGGCAAAGTGAAAGAGGTTCTCAAGCTTGATCAGGAAATGAAAGATCTTGCAGAACTATTAATTAAAGAGCAATCACTTCTAGTCTTTGGAAGAGGGTACAATTATGCAACAGCCTTAGAAGGTGCTTTGAAGGTAAAGGAGGTTGCTCTCATGCATAGTGAAGGAATACTTGCAGGGGAAATGAAACATGGCCCCTTGGCTTTAGTTGATCAGAACCTCCCAATTGTTGTGATTGCTACTCGTGACGCTTGCTTCAGGTTTTGCTTTGGGTGCTCATAACTCTATATTTGCTAAGTTTAAATTTATTGTTAATTCTTTTTAATATTTCTTTTGCTGGCAGCAAACAGCAATCAGTCATTCAGCAACTTCATGCCCGGAAAGGTCGCCTGATAGTGATGTGCTCAGAAGGGGATGCATCATCTGTATCGGTCGGTGGATCTTGTCGAGTTATTGAAGTTCCCCATGTTGTGGACTGTCTGCAGCCTGTAATTAACATAATTCCATTACAGGTGATGTGACCCTTGTTTTTTGTTGTTTACTTAATGTTTGATATATCTTTCCCTACCTGCATTTACATTTGTGTGGGGTGGGGCGCCCGGTATGCATAATTTTGTTAGATATTTTGTCACTTTATCCCCTATCGCCTATGGAAGCATTCCAGGTCAAATCAATGGCTCGCTAGTTGCTATTGCTTATTTGTTCATTGGAAATAGTAGTAATCTTGTTACTTTCTTTTCATTGGCCTTTTCATGTCTCTTGAACTCTTTTTCATTTGCAGAATAGTTATCTTTTGACTCTGTTGTGAATCCTTGGGTGCTAATAGGAGAAAAATTAGGGATGAGGATTTTTTTTCAGAAGTCTAATCTTTGCACTATGGAATCCTAGGAACTATTGTTTAATGAAGATAGCCTAGACTTATAAAAACTGGCTTAGTTGAACTGTCCACCTTTATTGGCGTGAACCCTCCGAGGTCCTCTGTAGATGCAAGAGCTCCATTTACTGGGCTGGCACTCCTTTTCTTTTCTTCTTCATGCTGGTGAAGTTATAACCTATATTTTATTTGTGTGTATCACGGAGCTATTTAGTTATCTGTGTCACTTCGATTGTGTTTAACGTTGACACTTGACATTAGGATCTGACATTTTGCTGCTGTCTCAATGTAGTTGTTGGCGTATCATCTTACTGTTCTACGAGGTTATAATGTTGACCAGCCACGGAATCTTGCGAAGAGTGTCACAACGCAATAAGGAAGACATACGAGTTCGATCTCTACACTGAATGCAATTCTCAGCTGATCCAAATTGGTTTCTTAATCTTGGCTAACCTTAGCTTATAGTGAAGCATTTCCGAGTTCGTGTTAGACCCCTTTTGATTTGTGCAGACGTGACTTCATTTTTCCAGTTGCCGTCGCAACAATATATATCACTAGTTTATGTAATTCCAATGCACTAGAAAAGAGCTTGTTCAGTTCAGGTTTACTTCAATCTATGAAGTTATGCAGAATCATTTACCCTTGTTCGAATTTATTTCCGTTGGAAATCGAAATTGATAGAATACTGGAAAAACAATGATGCATTTGCATTCAAATTCTGCTAGTTACAGCTTAAAATGCCAAGATTTTCATGACATTGAGCTCCTAACTGAAGAACATCAAAATTTGATTCTGAATAATATACAAATCAACTTGATAATAATAAAAGAATAAAAACAAAAGAACTAACATCTAAAATTTTTTCGCCTACAACTTGCTTCTCTCTCAGTGTTATAATTTTGAAATATTCTAAAACTTTGATCTTTAATTTTCAAACATTCTAAAACTTTGACCTTTGATCAAAGAGACAGTTTTAGATTGTTGTCCTAAACCATATCCATGTTGAACACAGGCAGACATCCAATCAGCCAATCATCAATTTGCAGATTATTTTCCATTGGTGTTTGCTGATCAAAGGAACTCCAGCTGAACTCTAAAGGTTCCAAATTGAACCACTTTCCGTCGAATTCAAGTTCTTCATCATCAACTTTAACCATAGGAAATTCCAATTGCTTTTCTCTAGGAAAATTTGAGTCCTCAACTGTCCCTATCTCCTGATCATCACAATTCTGCGGCTGCTCTGATTGAGACAAAATCATAGGCTGTTCTTCTTGTTCACATACAGAAGGGGAAGAAGACTCCTCATCAGCCAACAACTGATCTTCCAACATAGCAGCAAAGTCCGTTTCTTTTTCATCAACATTCAACGATGCCGAAAAGCTGGCTAATTCTTGATGTCCTTGATACAAAGTAACCCTGCCTTGTTCTCTTTTTTCATGGACAGAAGGAGAAGGTTGCTCATATGCCAACAACTGATCCTCTAACATTGAAGCAAATTCTCCTTCTTCTTCTTGATCATCGTCATTCAACATTGATAAAAAGCTGCCAAATTCCCCCTGTTCCTGGTACTGATTAAGAGTTAACCTGCGTTGATCTTCAATTTCCTCAGAACAACTTAAAGCTTGAATCTTTTGATTTTCCAGGATACCTAGATGCTTTTCAACGGACACCGCCTGATGCTTTTCAGTTTTCTTCACCAAATTTCTCGCAGGAATCGACACTTTCGAACCAGATTTCTGAAAAGCCCGAATCAATTCAATAACATCGGAACTATTTTCCGGCCAAGTCTCCAACTTCCCATCTGGTCCTATAATCACAGCACAGGCCTTAACATCACAGAGGACAGATAGCTCCATTGTTTTCTTCTTAATACAATCTTTCCTATTCTTAAAGCTCAGATTATTGTTAGCTTTCTTCTCAATCTTTTTCTTAAAAATGCCACCTTTGGGTTGCAACCCAGATCCAGCAGTGTTCTTCACTAACCCACTATTCTTTCCAGCAGCCATTGCTACTGATTTGCTTATTTCTCTCAATCACAAGTCACGGAACTCTGCTACTAAAAAAACCCAGTACTCTTGAGGGAGAAGAATTAGTAGGAGAGAGAAGAAACGGAAGAGGAAATTAGAATGAATGATTGAGAAGTGAAGAACTAATTTATAGAATTAGGAAAGTGAATTATGACCGTTGTGAGCGAAATCCAATATTTGGTAGGAAAATTGGAACATATTGGCTTCTTTTCTTCATATCCTTCGCGGGTGTTTCTTTGATCAGTATCTGATCGTTAAGCGACATTAATGGCAGAAAGATTTTGTTCTGTGTTTATGTACTGAATTACCCCCTCATCACTAGCGCCTCCGGTTTTTTAGAGTGAGGGTAATTTTGGTACTTCAAATGAGACAATGATTTATACCGGTTTTGGCGGGGGTGCTGCACGTGGGCTAAGTTGAAAAAGAAAGAAGTCGAAATCAGTTCGCTAGGGCGGCGGCGCGTAAAGTTCACTTTCTAGGGCGTTCCTCCATTGTCTGATTAACAAGGGAGGTATAGCTTCAATTCTTAAATCTGGGATTTCACCCTCACTGTGTGATTTGATGCGATCCCATTTCTCTTAAATTGTTAAGTTTAGTGAATTCTGGTGTCAATGAACGGCGGAATTGATGCGTCTCTTTATAGCTCGGTATCTTGGTTTATGTTCTCGATATATATATCAAACTCAAAGAGAAAGTGATTGCTGTGAATTTGCACGTTTTATTAGGCTGAGATTTGTTGTTCTGTTGGTACATAATTCAATCGGAAGAAGCTTTCTGCTTTTTATTTTTTTGCCTTGAATCATTGTTTTGCGGAATGGAGTTCAGAGGATTGATTAAGACTTAAAAGAACTTTCCATTGGCTTTTTTCTCTTCTCCCTACTTCAAATGATGAATGGGACAGGAACCTAATTCTAATACTTATACTGATTTGTGAAGTTAATTTGCTTTCCCGTGTCATCCTGTTGTTTAAATTCCCCTGAAATCAGCTATTATTATACATGGTTGTAATGTTGGTGAGTTTGGGAGGCATTCATTATCCGCTTAGATGGTCGTTATCCCCATGAATCTATATAACCTCGTAGTGCAATGTTAGTACGATAACTTGTCACTTAGGTCCAGCTACGTGCATCACTTTTTGATCAGCTATTGTGTATTGGGGACCAGATTTTAGACATTAGTCTTGCCCTGTTATTAGGATTGTTTATTTGCTTGATTTTAGTGTTTAGTCTAGTAAACCTCCCCCTTGAGTTCTTAGGTCTTTCTTGTCGAGCTACGTGCATCAGTTCTTGATCGGCTGTTGTGTATTGGGGACCAGATTTTAGACATTAGTCTTGCCCTGTTATTAGGATTGTTTGGTTGCTTGATTTTAGTTTTTAGTCTGGTAAACCTCCCCCTTGAGTTCTTAGGTCTTTCTTGAGCTGAAAGTTATATGGCATTGCTTTTTTGTTAGTGTTTTGGTCAGTAGTTTTTTTACTGAAATACTCAGCTGCTTGTGATAACATAGAACTCTAAGTTCATGTTTCTAAACCTTCAGCATTGGCAGCAAAACCTTAAAGGGTAGCTATTCTACGTCAAAAGAGCTGGCAAAGTAATTATTGAATTCTTTACTTTTACACGTCTGGTATTTACTTTTATGTTGTGGTAGCCAATTTCCGGTTGGCTTTAAGTTTCATTCTATAAGGATATTTGACAGCAGATGCAATTTAGTTACAGATGTGTCCTTGAAGCTAGAAGGTTGAAGAGTTTTAGACCTCGGCAGTAACCTTTGATGAAGCGATTTTCTTTGCATGAGTATGGCTCAAGATCTCAAGGGTGGATTTTCCTTCTGTTTGGGTTCCTATCCTTTGTTTTGTTCGTCTACACTGCCATGATTTCTAAGCTGCTTCCACTGCCTAGCAACCCCATCATTGCAGCTATCCAAAGAGATAGGTAACTTATGTTATGGCTTTCTCTATTAGTAATAATTGCTTCTCTTAAAGACATTATGACAGGAATTGAGTGATAGAAAATGATGGTGACATGTAGGAGAAGAAGTTAAGCCGTATATGCATCGATCTCAAGTTGCAACTGCAATCACTAGCCTAAATATTTAGATCCAATCTCGCCAAACTATATTCATTTGTTGTAATTGATAGGATTTGTCTTGCTTGACCTCTTGTTTTCATTTTTATGGTGATGCCTTCATTAACCTGGGATGACATACGGTGCAAATGTGCATTACATCTTGTTAGTGCTTAATTCTTCATATCTTAGTTTTGGAGGAATGTCGTGAAGTTTTTCACTCGAAGTTGACTGTCTGTTTTTCCGGTATTATGCAGGTATTATTGCCTTCTGGTTCCGTTGTTACCTCCTATCCTTCTTGTTGCGGTATACTTCCATTGGCTCACCATGAAGCTTTATAAGCATGCTTAGGTCTTTGAAGCTGTAGCAAAGGTCATTGTTCTTGTAAATATAGGAGACTTTGTTGATCTGTAATTTTTTTGCAAAAGAAATCAAGCAGAAAGCATTACTATTAACACTAAAGTTTCTACAGTAACCTAGACCGACTCTTTGGATGCTTTTGTGATATTATTCTTCTAAAACTCTATCCTATGCCAGTTGTGTCTCCAGAGTTGCTTCTTTTGCTGAACCTGAAATTGAGTTTCCTCCAAAACCGTTGATTAATAAACACGTAAATAAAATAAAAGCACATTTGTGATCTGCATAACATTTTCACAAAGGGAGGAATTACTGGTGGTTCTGCTCTTCTGTTCATGTACTCTAGTTCTTTGCCTAAGACCTGTTATGGACTGTTGTGATCGTTTAGCGACTTTTTTATATCTCTTTTTCCAAAAAAACTAGCTTGTTTGCCTTGTCACCACCACAGATGAGGTGATACGCAACTTCATATTTTTGTCCACCATCAGTAAATGAATCCATAGAAGGAGAAAATGTCATTCAGGGAATTCTAACCCTAAGCCCTTCGATGTGGACTATTTAGTACTTTTTGTCGTTTCTAAGTAAGAGTCATGTTTGTAGTGTTAGGGAGTAAATTGTATTAGTATTTTTCTCCTTTCATATTTTGAAGCTCTTGCTGTTGATTTTCTTACCGGTATAAAGTCTCTGTTTGGACTATCTTCTCTATTTTTGCCCCTACTAAACAAGAATAACTTCTTTTGTATTGGCCTTTAAACAACTTGGTAGAAACTCTTCTCTACTTTGCTGAGATATGTGGCCTTGCTAACTCCAAGAGGGCCTTTTTTGTGGTTTATCTGTTTATTGCTACCGTGTTTCTGGTAGCTCATTCATTGTGCTAATTATGAAAAGCGATTGCAAATTGCAGGTAAAATAGACAAGATCCTGAGAGATTGCCCTCTCATTAAGCAGAGTCCTGGAGGTTTCTTCCGATTGCCTACATAGGTTGATATCCCACTATGAAAGATGTTGGTTCCTGCGAAGAACTCCATCAGGCTGATATGGCCCTACCTGTTTGAAGTTGAGATGAAGTAAAAAAGTTTTAACTGCGCGAGTGCAGATGGATGCAAAGTTTCTGAATCATATCAGCTTTTAATTCGGTCCACGTGAATGTGACTCAAGTTACAAGAGAAGAAAACATCAGCATTTTGTGAGATGCCTCCACCAAATCATCGCTCAAGCTAGTTAGTGTTTGCTGTTCCCTTTACTTATTAAAGGAGAAAGGATGAAGAAAGAAAAAGGTTAGTACAGTTGGAAAATGTCCATTCTGATGGTGTGGGTGAAAGAAGAGAATGGCAGGGGATAATCGCTAATGCTTCCTAAGAAAATCATTAGATGGCAGTGTGAAGGCCATAAAAGAGTTCTGTTACTCTGTGTACCGAAAACCTCAGGTTGGAATCATCGATGAAAAAAGGTTTAGCAAATTTGGCAGCATAAAGAGTTTCAAGTGAAAATTTGAAGCAACTCTGAATTTAGAAAGAGTGTAGTTTTGTGCTTAATTTACACGATTTACAACAACATTTTTGCAATTCACACGTAATTTGGGGCACATTATATGAACAAAAAGAACTCGTTAATTTGTAGGGGGCAGAATTCGGGGTTAACCAGTTCCATTTCGGCAGTCAAGTCTCCGCCGTATTCCTCCGCTCCGTCGTCGTCGTAGTTAGCTGGTTGACCGGTGCTAAATCGTAGCTTTTTCTGCTAGGTAGTTTGTTCTACTACCTGGACCGCCACAAGGGCTGAATGTCATTACAGTCATTGTTTTACAATCGTGGTGCACGGAACCCGTTTGTTGATTTGTCTAAGTAGATTTTGGTTTTTTTTTTTTCCGACGAATTCCAGGGCTTTGTTTGCATATGGTTTTTCTTATAGTTGGCTTACTCTTTTTGTTTTTTTGGGCGGTTATAGAATCTAATCGGGCTTGAAAGATCTTAATTCAGGATTTGATTATGGCGGAGAGGCAGCCAACTGATCAGCAGCATGGACTTGATTCACAATCTCCTGCTTCTGCTGCTGCAATAGCATCCAAGGATGATATGATTGGCTATGTCATGGCATTGGAGGCTGCTTTGCTTCCATGTTTGCCTGCCAGGGAGCTCCAAGCCATCGACCGTTCTCCTCATCCTTCTCATCAGAGTAAGTGCATTGATTTTCCTGTAACATGAATCTACTTTACCATGGTGTTTCTTCTCATATATGATCTACATAATGAGATGCAATAAAATTTTGTTTAATAATATTTCCATTATATTTCTGGTGAAATTTCTTTCTGGTGCGTAGCAGCTAAACCTAATTAGATCATCAGACATTTGAACCCACAGTTGCTCTGTCTTGTACCATTCATTTACACAGAATTTTATAGCCAGCTCAAATTTTATGTTGCGCTTTTGTACGCTTTTCCCATCTGAACTTGAAACTTACTATTGTAAATTTCTCAGTTTCAGTTATTGTAGTTCTTTCATAAGGGACCAATTCTTTCATTTTTAACTTATCTATTTTTTCTCTCTTGGAACAGAAGGTTTGCAAGAAATGGCTGGCATAGAGACATAAATTTATTTGATGTAAAGTTTATGTTTTGAATTTTACTAATTCGATTCTGTCTCCGGGAATAGCATTTCATGGTTTTGCTGAATGTGGTGATAACTTTGACTTCTGCAGTTGATGTGGCGCGCCATGCTAGAGATTTCATGGAGGCTGCCAAGAACCTTCAACTCTATTTTGTTGGTTTGCAGCGAGAGGATCAGCCTACCAAAGCAGAAACCCTTCGGAGGGTAAGAAACTTTTAAAAATGCAGATTGCAGCACAAGATAGTGTTATTCTCTGTCTCTTTGATGTCTCATCATTTCGGTTCCATAATTTTGACTCAGATTCTGTTATTTAACGCCTCAAATGTTTGCCAATCTAACAGGAGATTACCAGAATGGAAGAAGAATTGAAATTGAAGGATGACCTTATCCGTCAGCAAGAGAGAATTATTCAAGGATGGAGGAAGGAGTTAAAGGAGCAATTGGACAAGCACAACACTGAATTGGAAAGGGTGTAACAGTAATGTTCAGTAGTTCTATTAGATTATACTTCATACCCCTTTCTCTTTTGGATATGGTATTTCTCCCTAGAATTGAACCCAAGGTCCAAGCCCCTCTTCTTCTAGAGCTATCAGAACTAAACTAAGAAGCATTGTGACTTTTGACAATGGCCACTCTTTACCGGAGTACAATATCATTCAGCTTAGTGAAAATGGAGGATTCTGTATTTGATCTTTTGATCATATGAAGCAACTTCTAAATCATTTTACTGCAAGAAATATCTGACAAGAAATATATAGTCAACCTAAAAGCTAAAGCCAAGCAAAAGACAAATCGAAAACAATTCTCGATTTTAGTTTTTTCTTTTTTTTTGAAAGACCAGAAAATCAGTCAGTTTTGGTTGATACAGAAAACTTGGTGCTGTTGACCAATAATGGGTTTAATTAAAGAAAAAAATATTTCTGTTTGTTATTATTCTTATAAAATTTTCATCAGTTTTACATACATTTTTTTCGGAATTTTCATCAGTTTCTTATGTATATTGAAATTTGACTTGTTGATGAATATCTAAATTGTGAGATGGTTTTTCCCCTCAAATGCAACAAGAAAACCAAAAATCAGTTCAACTTAAAATGCATTATCTATATTAGCTTGTTGGAAAACTACACTATACTATGCAAATATTTGTGCATTTGATAATTCTTAAGCATACTTGCTAAATCTGGAATATTTTGTTAGGCCCTGTTTGGTTCACAGATAGTTTAGGGGAAAGTAATATAATTTCGGGAATCTGAAAATTACCGTGGTTGGAAGTAGTTTGTAACGCGTTTGGAAAATAATTTGATTCCCCGAATCAAGGAAAATAGTTGCAACTTTCCAGGAAAAGAATCCTTATCTAGAGTTGTTATTCTGTTTACTCTCCGGCGGAATTTAATAAAAAAAGACGCGATTTTATTTGATCCGATCCTAACCTTTTTTATAATCTCCTCTTGCACAAGTTTCATCATCCTCATCTCTGTTGCTCTGCTACTGCAACAAGGACTTTGTCTCCTTCGCTCTTTTTCTTTTCTTCCCAACAAAATCTCATTCAGCCTCCTTTTATTCTTCCCATCAAAATCTCTTCCATATTGCTATCTTCTTGAGTTCCTAGTAAGCTTTTTTTTTTTATTTTTAAACCGAGAAAAAAAAACTCCATTAAATCAGATGACATTTAAATTACAAAAAGCTTCTTATTTGACTGCTTTTCATTTATTCAAGAGAAACGCTCGATATCATTTACAGAATAAACAGTCTTTTCCAAAAGCACAAACTCCTCGACAAGAACTTTACAAAAGCTTCAACCGATCCTCGGCGGACGAGGACTTTTCCCTTGGCATCAACGAAAATCCGCACCCCATAGGGGTTGAAATCGTCAGTCATCGCCGTATTGGGTGGAATAATCTGAACCTTAGCTCCAGGCATCTCTTTCTGGATCTTGGCTTTTGCAGCTTCCCCTGTCAAACCAACAATTTGGGGCCAAGTTTTTCTTTCATACTGAGCTGACACCGAAACCAGAACCAAACTGAACAAAAGAAGACAACCCAAAATTTCTCTCCTCATTTTAGCTTCAACTGGTAAGATTGTTTTCTCATTTTTATCAATTCAATCAATAGATTGTCCTCTTAATTCGTATAAATACTAATTGTATTGTTTCTTTTTTTTTTCAACTTTCTTTGGCCGTGGTTACAGTGAGGAATCTTTCGTTGGTGATTCTTTGTTTATTATTTTATCAATTCGAGAGGTTAGTTCATGAGTTTGATTTATTATTCATCTTGCTATTGCTAGTAATGTTTGCCTTGTCCTTTTTTCTATTCCACTCATATCTTTGCGCATTATCAACTATTATTAGCTATGGAGTTTATAAATTGCTGATGTTTCAGGCTTTATTTTGGGTTGGCTGATCTTTGTGATTATGATTTTTCTAGTGTTACTTAACTGAGTTCAGACTTGTGCGTGAAGGAGCTGATGATCCTAGTGGTTTAGTTACAACAATCTCTACGTATCACGTTTGAAAGGTTTGTGCTTGTTTACTTTTGATATTAATTTTCCCCTTCTTTTGTTCACATATTGGATTTGTTTTGTGTTGCACCGGTGAAGAATAAAATTCGTTATCATTTTTTGGAGAAATTAAAATGAAAAAGTTGGCTACTGCATCTCCCTCAAAATATGTTTTTTTGTTATTAGTTTTAACATTAACTTATTTATTTATTTATTTTTTCCTTCTTCATTTGGAAGTACTTTAAAAACTGATTCACAAACTAATTTGATAATATAAACACTTAACTATCTTCCCGATTGTGCTATTCATTAGTGGTATTCAATGTGTGTGTCACCACCAGCTGTGAACCTTTGATATTGCCACAATCCTTTCAATGCCACATGTCGACAACCTTTATCTTCACAACAAAATTTCCACAAAAGTTGCACAAAGCTGAAAATCTCCATTTCTCAATTTGCTTATTTAAACTAGCACCATTAAAGGTACCGTACTTCCCAAAAAAGTCCAGCCCTCTTTGTCCCTTCGTCCTTTTAAACGGGCAACTTCGTACTTCCTTCCTATCATTGAACGATTTACTCTTTGATGAGGCAAGTGATTGCTAGTGGTTTAATTCAAAAGCATTCATTCGATTCGACCGTACCCTCTTTATTCTTCCTAAGACTCGTAGCTGAGGCATTTTTACTATTTGAGGGCTTCCCAATATTTTTGCCGGACCCTTTTGATGTTCTTTACCCTTCAATTTGTCCATCTCTTCACCATCATGTTCCTGGCAATTATCTGGTAGACTAGTACTCCTTTAGCTAAGACTTCATTAGAAGACTCAACATGTTCATTATATGTTTCTCACATTCAAACTGTCACTAAAACTCAAACCTAATTCATCTATTTCGAGGATTCATCTCGGGCACCAACTTCAATTAAATTAAGTCGAATTAGTTTCTGGATTTTTTTATTTTAAATTAAGTCGACCAAAAAACTATAAAATAGAGTTAATGGAAGTTCAATTCTAACTTTTAAGTGATGTTGATAATACGGACCTGGTTTTTAAGAGAGGAGGGTGAAGTCCGGCTACGAAAGTTCAAGCTTTATAAAGCAACTAGGAAATTGAGGCAGTGGTTTTTCTACTATTATCCATATATGTTAATTTAAATCTTGTTGCCAGATAACTTAGCTAAAGAGTCTAGTTTAATCCCTAAAGACTTTAAAATAAGTACAAAATGTGGTGTTTCACATACACGCACATGTTAGGCACTAATTTTGAATTTGTTAGTATAATTTTCTAGTCAGGTTAGGCATTTGTTTTTTAAATCTTATGTTCATTTTTTTGTGCCTTTTTAATATTGTTAGTATTTTCATAATAGGTGATTCATTCAGATGGATAGGTTGGATTTAACTTCCGTGAGAAAATATCTCTATCTTATGATTTATAGGCGACGACAACAGATGAACATATTAAGGATCATGCTAAATGTGATATATATCATTGTCATACACCATTATCAAAAAACCTATTTAAAAGCTCCTTATTCGGTTGATGAGTACGATAGGTCACGTTATATCCACAGGGTAATATATTCTAGTAATATAAGGTGTCATTATGCAACACGTATGGACATGTTTATCTTTAGCAAATTAGTTATGATGCTTCGTATAACTGGAGGACTTCGAGATACTAGAAATACAACTGTAGATGAACAAGTAGCTATGTTCTTGCACATACTCGCACGGGACCAGAAAAATCGTACTATAGGATTGAATTTTCAGCGATCCGGTGAAACTGTTAGTAGAATTTTCAACAAGGTTTTAAAAGCGGTGATTAGACTACAGAGTCAATTGTTAGCAACTCCTACGCCTGTGCCTGAAGATTGCACTGATGACAAGTGGAAATGGTTTAAGGTAAATTTTAATTTGTAATTATTTAATTATTTATTACTACTAAAATATTATTATACAAAAATTAATTATGGTTGATTTTTCAGAATTGTATAGGAGCTATTGATGGTACTTATGTCGAAGTCAAGGTAGCTGAAATTGATAAACCTCGATACCGTAACAGGAAGGGTGATATCGCTACAAAGGTTTTAGGAGTATGTTCTCAAAACTTGCAATTTATTTACGTTCTTCTCGGTTGGGAAGGTTCAGCTGCCGATGGTAGAGTTTTAAGAGATGCTTTAAGTAGAAGAAATGGATTGCCAATATATGATGGTAAGTAGAAGTGATTTGATAGGTTCCTTTAATTATTTTAATATACTTTTACACTATTATTTTAATATACTTTTACACTAATCATAAAGTTATTTAATTATTTTAATATACATTTACATTATTAAAATTAATTTCCTTCTTTCTAGGATATTACTATCTTGCTGATGCTGGATATACTAATGGCAAGGGATTTCTTGCGCCATTTAGAGGCCAAAGATATCATCTGTGTGAGTGGAGAATAGGACGTCAACCAAATACTCCAGAGGAGTTTTTCAATATGAAGCATTCATCAGCTAGGAATGTTATTGAGAGATGTTTTGGAATGCTTAAAATGCGTTGGGAGATTATTAGACACCCAAATTTTTATCCAATTAAGACTCAAGGTAGAATTATTGACAGGCCGTCGTCACACTAGTCAAATAATAATTACCTACTTAATACAATTACTAGTAGTAAAGCAGAAAGTAGGGTCGATCCCACAGAGAAGGTTACTAATTACCAGGTATAAATTACTCCTATTATTATCTAGATAAATGATGATCTCAGGTTAATAAAATTTAAAACTAAAATAAATAAATGAAATAAAGGCAAATAATATTAATTCAAATATCAAACCAAGAAAACCTAGGACATTGGGTTCACCTACCGAATATTTGGATTAGTTCAGTTCATAAGTATCTGACTTTTAACTTCCATTAATCTCACAACGATTCACCTAATTAAGAACTATACACTCTCGTGTTATAATTCTCTTACTTATATTAACCCTATGAC